ATAGTAAGTATAGCTGTAGTTTATACTTAACTGGTCTTTATCCACAGTCTGTTTACCTGCTGGGCAAATAGTGTATATGAAGTCCTATAGTCCTCAGCATGCAATAGTCTTGCCAATTATCAGTAAAATCTGTTCTGCGTAATGATGGGTGATATTCCCCCACCAGTCAAACAAGGGCTTTCTCACATAATGTTGTGGGAACTATCTTTTGGTTGCTCCACAGTCTGAAATTCCAGTCCTTTCTGCTCTTTCATTCTAAAATCCAGCTATGTACCTGTAGTGACTGCCCTTCTCTGGGCAAAATCTTAGGTTTCTTAAATTTAAATTCTTAAGTTCTTTTTCTGCAATACCATTTTCATATTGTTTCCAGAGAAAAACTTTTAAGTTTGAATTGAGTTCTTTATTGAGAAATGTAAGAGTTAACTCTTAACTTCTAATTAGAATTCCATTTGCTTTTATTTCTTTTGTCCTTTTAATTTAGCAGTCACATATTGCATCTATTGTAAAAGTATTCCTTTTACACAACAGGAAGTAATTGACAAATACACAGCCGTTGTAAAGATGATTGATTCTGGAGACAAGCTGAAACTTGACCAGACTCATTTAGAGACAGTAATTCCAGCACCAGGTAAATCTGTTTCCAGGCCACTTAATACATATCCTATCAAAGTGAGCGGTTTCTTTCTTAAAACCATAGATTTTGAATATTAATTGATGCTTATAGATATATTTCCCTTACAGAAGTATTAACAGGTGAGCTATCAAATCTCCACCCGACTTCAGGGGGCATAGTAGTCCTCTAACCAAATGATTTGGTGCCATAAATGAATGTTCTCCTTCCAGAATATATTTTCTCCTGTGGCCAAACACGGACATACATGGATAAAATCAGTCATATTAAACTTATTAATATGTATGTTTAGCTACTTGAGATGGTCAGAATTACTATGTTTTCTCTTAACTGTCCTTGTCATTTGAGTGCTTGTTCATATTAGATGTAAAGCCTACTTGGTGTCATTTGCCTCTGACTCAGAATCTTCCTGGGGATATCATTCTGGTGCATTGCTCATGTGCTGCAAACTTCCTCTTACCATATTTTTTTTTATTTTTGGAACTGAGGGTTTAACCCAGGACCTTCACACTGCCACATCTTCTGCCTGTGCCCCCCACCCTTATTTTTTATTTTTGAGACAGAATCTTGCTGAGTTTACCAGACTGGGATGGAGCTTAGAATCCTCCTGCCTCAGCCTCTCAGAGTGCTGGGATTACAGGTGTGTGCTCTCACTCCAAGCTTTACTTATCATATTCTTCTTTTTTCTTCTAAAATAAGTCTTAAAAGTTAGAAGAATGTATTGTCAGCCTTAATGACATATGTACCAATGATGGCAAAATTTTTAGAGCTTTCAACGATACAGCCTGCTGCTTCATGCATGCCATAGCCTGGGCACCACTGATCCATACAATGGATAATAAATGACACTTAGGCCAAAAATGTACTGATAGGTTTCAGATATGAGTACTCCATTGAAGCCATCAGTGTAATCAAGATGATGCATTTCTGCCTTTGTTTTCCTTTTTGATTCCTCCATACTGTCCTCTATTCCTGCTGCCTTGCCTGTCGTCTATCCCAGGCAACCAGAGATTTGCTTTCTGTCACTCTACAGTAGTTACTATTTTTCTAGAATTTTATGTAAGTAAAATTATGCTGTGTATCTTATTTCTTTTGGTCTGGCTTCTTTCATTTCATTGATTTTGGATTTACCTTTTTTTTTTTTTTTTTTTTTGGTATATCTGTTATTGTTTGTGTTAATTTTATTGCTGAATAGTCATTGGATAGGCATACCACAGTTTGCTTATCTAGAGACATTGATAGACATTAGGGTTATTGACAGCTCTTAACAGATACTGATAAAACTGCTATGAGCATTTGTGTACACGTCTTTATGTGAATATATACTATTACTTGTTTTCTCTTGGGTAAATACTTAGGATAGTTGGATAGGATACTATATAGTTGTATAGCTTAAATCTTTATAAAGCTGCCAGGCCACTTTAAGAATTTTGAAAAGAGACAAACCAAAAATACTAAACCAAGCTAAATTTTTCCTATAGTCCTCTAACAAATAAATGAGAAAAATGAGGAGTCACATAATATTGAAGTACTTAACAAACCATTGTAGAATACTCCTCATGTTACATGATGAAGAATTTCTAAGAGAAGGATTTTTGGTTTTCAATATGTTCATTCAGTGAAAAGCATTTTGGTGTAATAAAGTAAGAAAAGCATGGACATTTCCTTGTATTAAGTTTTATATTCTTTTCTGCTATAGGAAAAAGAATTCTAGTTTTAAATGGAGGTTACAGAGGAAATGAAGGAACTCTAGAATCCATCAATGAAAAGACTTTTTCAGCAACTATAGTCATTGAAACTGTAAGTTTGCTTAACAAAAACGAATATCTCAAAAAGCCTTAAAATTTTTCGCTAGTTCTTTTTAACTTGATTGCTGTTTATTTTAGAGTGTGAGTTGTTTGCCTTCTGTCCCATTTGGTTGATTTTTGATTTTCATGGGGTTTGAGGGGGAGCATTGAGACAGGGTCTTGCTCTGTAGTTCAGGTTGCTCTTGAACTTACTTTACTATGGATCCCAAGTAGGCCTCAAACGCATAGTGATCCTCCTGCATCAGCCTCCCAAATTCTGGGATGGCAGGTATACATCATGATACCTGGCTTTCCATCCCGTTTAGAAATCTGTATCACTTCTTTTCTAGAAATTCTGCTACTGATGAAACATTTGGGTTTTTTATTACAAAAGGAATCTGTACTCACTGTATAAAAATTACTAATGAAATATAAATCCAAGTATCAGGCCAGGGAGATGGCTCAGTAGAATAAGCACTTCCCTGGCAAGCGCAAGGGCCTGAGTTCAATCGCCGGTTCCGCCAAAATAAAAACAAAAAATAAAAAAAAATAAAAAAAATAAATCTAAGTATCACCCATAATTCCCCAGGCCAGTGAGTATTCTTGTTAATATTTGGTCTGTTCCTTTCTAGTCTTTGTATCTTTATCAAGAGCTCATTTCTTTTGTCAGTAATACACTCAAACTTCATCCTGTTTTTCTGATGCTTTAGTTGATCAGAGGGTTGTGCTGAGATAGAACCTATAGGGCCGGGGAGATAGCTCAGTAGAATAAGCACTTGCCTGGCAAGCGCAAGGTCCTGAGTTCAATCTCCAGTACTGCAAAAAAACCAAAAAAGAGATAGAACCTATGAGCACACCACATGAAAACCCTTCTAGCTAATTGCAAAACACCATGTACTTCTGGGAGAGGAAAGCTATTTTCCAACTTTTGATTCTTTATCTTTTTTTCTTTCCCCTGCCTGACCCCATTTTAAAAAATAACAGAGAGAGAGAGAGAGAGAGAGAGAGAGAGAGAGAGAGAGAGAGATTTTGAGTCTTTAAAACTTTTCTAGTGGCTCCTCTCTCTATTTTTATCATTTCAGACAACAGATTTTTAATAGCTAATAAATTATTTGTAAACAACCTCACCCTTTTAGCTTTTTATCCAGTGAACCCCATGTCTGGTTCCCTTCTCCAGATCTGTAGTTTTCAGAACATGTAATTGACTATAGAGCTCTAAATGCAATAATGAAAAATTCAACCTAGGTTGTGCTTTGCCTGGAAACTCATTTCCTTTAGGTATAATCATTATTTCAAAAGACTGACGCTTTAAAGAGCATTTTATTTATTTATTTATTTATTTATTTTTGGCAGAACTGGGGTTTGAACTCAGGCCCTCATGCTTGCCAGGGAAGCGCTTATTCTACTGAGCCATCTCCCCAGCCCTTAAAGAGCATTTTAAATGGAACTTAAGATTCTCCGATAAAAGTATTAAAAATCTCAACCCACAGTTAAAGGCATATTGTCATCACTGTCACTGTCATCATCATTGTGTTGTTCTCTGCTAGGGAAAGGTTCACCTCTAATTTTAACCAAAACATTTAATAATTCAAAATTGTTGAGCCTATACTCATTCCAAGTATTGTTCTGAGCATTTATTATTTATGAATTTGTTCATGTTTTCCAACACCTGAGTGATACGGGACACTACTGTCACCCGCACTGGGGACCCTGAGGCACAGAGAGATGAAAGACAAGGAAGCACAGAGAGGTGCTAGAGGAAGGAGTTGCCCTTGAGCAGCCCAGGTTAGAGCCTGTACCCTGAGGCTCTGTGTTGTCAAGTTGCCTCAGTTGTTGTCAGGTATTCTCAGGCTGTCTCTGCTTTTGAAGATTTTCCTTTTTCTTTTTTTGGATATGAAGGGAAGAAGATAGTTGGACCCATTTTCTGCAATATAGACCATCCCTATTAACTAGACAAGCAAGTTTGAACATTTGTCTGTCTGCCTTTCTTTCTTTCTTTTATGGTACTGGGGATTGAACTCAGGACCTAGTGCTTGTCAGGCAAGTGCTTACTCTGCTGAGCTATCTCCTCAACCCTGAACATCTGTATGTCTTACAAAAATATTAGCTATAAAAAGGCGCCTCAATGCATAAAGGTATAAACATAGTAGAAATATTAAAAATCAAAAATAGATATTCTTCTTTTGGTCTTTTTCAGTGGTACTGAAATTAAACCCAGGGCTTTTGTACTGAGCTGTATCCCCAGCCCTTTTTATTTTTACTTTGTGACATGGACTCATGAAGTTACTAAGCTATCCATGCTCTGCTTGAACTTGGGGGCCTCGGGCCTCAAAAAGTGGATATTCTTGATCAGACTATAGACTTTTTCTAAGCAGAAACTTGTGTGTGCAGGGTCCTTTCAGTCAGTGGCCCTGTCATATTCAACAAGTGACATCCACAGTTGCTGTGTCAGGGAGGCCACAGAGTAGCACAGCATGTTGCAAGGGGAGCCTGGCCTGGCTATGCACCACTTGTGGCCACCACTTGTGTTCACTGCACTTTTGTAGGCTGGAGCTCCCTCTCTGGCCACACATACTCACTAGAGGGCAAGAAAATGTAGCAGAGAGATAACAGGCAGCTAGCTACTCTATTGCAGGGACCACTGATAACACATTTCAAATAGCACTGAAGAAAACAGCTTTATTTTTAGTTGGGATGCCATAAATTATTTTTAAAATTCATAAGTGTTCCAGCAACATACTTCATACAAGAAACACATTTAAGGCGGGCGAGATAGCTCAGTGGACTAAGCACCTGCATAGGCAAGCGCAGGAACTGGGGTTTGATCCCTAGTACCACATGCCGCACCAGCCCCACCCTGGGTGCACTGAGCTGGCCACCGAGTGTGGGCTAGTGCTGCACATCTGCAATCCTGTCACTGGGGAGGCTGAAAACAGGATTACTACAAATGCAATCTGCATAGTGAGACCCTGTACCAAATACATAAAAAAATAAAGTAAGAAAAGAAACACATTTAATATAAAAAAAAAATTCATAGACTGAAAGCAAAAGGATGAAAGTAAAATAATACTCATGTTATAGGAATTCACAAAAAAGCAAGGGTAGGGCCGGGGAGATGGCCCAGTGGAATAAGTGCTTCCCTGGCAAGCGCAAGGACCTGAGTTCAATCCCCGGTTCCACCAAAAAAAAAAAAGAATGAACCTTTCCAGACCCAGTCCTAGCCCAGGTCCGGTGAGTGTGTGGAGAGCTTCCTGCTACCCTGCGCCGGCGGGACCAGTCCCAGCCCAGG